TTGCTCTTTTCATGCGACTATAAAAGTGCAAAAATAGGTCAAAGATTCCAGGTGACAAGTAACATCTGCAATTATTTTGAATTAATTCGACCTCAAGCAAATAGGCCATTTGTTTGTGACCCATCATCCACACTTTGGGAAGAACATTTTATTTGGAAAAACTTCTACTCTTTTCTTCATCCTTCCCCTGCCCCCGCATTCTGCTACTCAGCTATTTCATTCTAAGCACTCATACCCTACCCACTATCAGTATGTTGCATCCGATATCGTAATTACCATCAATTTCAAATGAAATAACATTTTAATTTCAGTAAAGGACTACTATCTTCTGTACTGCAGGCACCTATACCCTCTGAGGAATCAGCTTCCCAAAGAGAACTTCCAACTAAACGAGGAAGCAACTCCTAGGAGGTTTCTAGAAGCCTTCTCAAACAGCCCAATAGGATAAAATGACACTAGGTGGCTGCCAAATTTGGTTGAATCCAAATTTTGGGATGTGTTAACATGTTGTTGAGTCTCTTCGCTGCAGGAAGATCTGCTGAAAACGCAGGAAAGGAGAGTAGATACATTAAGACCTCCACCTAAAAGAATAGTTGAGGTTGGTGCTATCTGTGGCCAGATACTTCAGAGGAGTTACCTTTTTAACTAAATTGGCTTTGCCAGCCTAAATCATCATCACTTTCTGAGACTGTAATAGTTTTCTTTCATTTTTACTACTAAAAAAGAGTATTTCCATTAGTAAGCAAGCCTTCACGAAGAGCTAGGGATTGAGCAACTGGCAACGCAGTTTGAAAAAATTACAGTCTTTTACAGGTCCAAACTGGCTAGATTAACTCCTTAAAAGAAGCAGTTTTAGCAATCAATTCATCCATAATAAGAGAAAATTAACTATAACTATCACCACTTGAGTGCTACAAATCTGCAAAGAGGAAACATATATATGTGTGTGTGTGTGTTTATATACACACACACACACACACACACACATATAGTTTATGTCACAACCTCTGTATGGTAAGAACTACAGCTGACAAGGTCTTAAAACGTGGGACAGGAAAAGAAAAAAAATAAAATCAAACTTTTGCATGAATCTTTCACACTAGAAAAGGGTGAGCTAGGTAGGTCATATTAGATTGCAATCAATTTTACCATTTAAATGCCTAATCCTAATCTGTGAAGGAAGAAGGGGGAAAAAAGATACCATCAGTTATGTTTTTCCCCTCCACTTCTGCATTCAACAAGCATAGTAACTCTATTCCAGCGCAGGGTTGCCTGAAACTGAGCTTGACCGTTGCAACTGCTACTGCTGGTCGTGCCAGTATGCTGAGGTTTTCCAAATAAAATTGCTCTCAACTACTTGTTCCCAAAATTAAATGCAAGGCCAAGCAGTCAGTGGAACGCAATAAAACAGAAAGCTCTGAGGCTCGCAGAGCGGCAAGGCTGAAGGCAAGGGATGCTGGTTTCCAGCGCTGGTCAAGGTGGGAGAAGGTGGATAAGGAAAAAGTGGCAGCATTGCGACGCTTACCCAAGAAGAGCTTTAACCCCTTTTCTGTCCAAATGCCTTCCCTCACAACGTGCTTACACCGCCAGCCAGCTGGAATGAAAAGGTCTACAACCAAGACTTAATTTTAATCGAGTAAATAAAAGTTTGCCACAACTACACATTTAATATATTAGACTATTCATACATAATTCAAATGTTCTAATGTTATTGCCAGGGAAATTTATAAAAACTAGTTTTATATCAGTTTTAATATTCTGGAATATTGAAAACAGTTCTGCCACTTCTAAAAAAGACGCAGTAGAGGAATTTATAGGAATGCTCAGTTTTTACAACTGGGACTGATCTTCCCTTCTACTAGTATTTTCCTTTCCATTTGGTGATTTGTTCCTTGTCCTTTGGTGATTTGTTTTGGGGACAGCTACGTGAACAAACATTAACTTAAATATACATATCAAAACACATATAGACTTTACCAAAAATACGTTCCTACCACTGACCAAGTTCAATCTCATTGATCTTTTTTCTTCTAATACAACAACCCAAGCACTACCAGGTCTTTCATCATTTCCAATACATTAACTAATCTGACTTGTTTTCGAAGAGAGTTTTTACAGAAAATCCAAGACAAACACAGAGGAATTGCCTTAGGAACATAACATAAACCATACTCTAAAGGTAAAAGGTATTTTCAGTGCATACCAGTTTTAAAGTGCCAAACGTACTTTTACAACAAAAAAATCCAAGCAAACTAATCACAACAACAAGAGCTGGCTGATATTTAAGAGTAATTTAAAACAAAATGTTTTTCTATTGCCATCAGTTATATTTAGGGTAAATAACTATGTCCTTGCATTTCAAGTTATGAAGTTACAACGCCTGTTGCACGGCTGTTTGCGTGGGATCGCTGGCTGGCTACGGCTAGCGATCCCATGGGCAGCGCCGAACTGCCCAGGCGTTCGGGCACTTGGGCATTAACACGCAGCACAGCAGATTAGCATCACCAGAGGCTGTAGAAAGGGATGAGTGCAAAGCAGATAGAGGAGGACATCTATGTTTAGGAAGCGGTTCGTTTAATTAGCTATGAAGTTATTGGTCTTGCATTAGGAAGCAGTCGAGCAAGTGTTTTAGAAAATACCGCAAGCAGCCAGTGCCCAATTAAAAGGATGCTCACGCCCTTAAAAGAAACTGGAAGGTAACAAATACTTGGACAGCAGGATCGTATGCATTAAATGGAACGCAAACGGGAACTCAAAAGTACTCACGTTTGTACATGTCAAATCTACGGCAAAATTTCTCATACTGAAAATGCCCCATAATTTTGAATACAAGTTTTTAAAAATATTTTCCTACTTTTCATATTACGTGTCTTCAAAATGAGTAATGCTGAAAGATGTTCTTGATTCTACAGGTAAGCATTAGGCCAACTACAAGCTTCTGGTCACATATCTTCCCATGAGCCACAGAGAGCGCACACAAGTATTTCATGCAGCAGCAGAGGAGTAAGTGGTTATGCTCAGCGAAACAGAGTACTAGCTCAGACCCAAAGCATAAGTTCAGGACCTAGAAGTTTAACCCCATACCATAAAACACTCTACTTCTGTTTTCACTGGTTCGATTTTTTTTTTAAATTGTATTCTTTTTAAGCGTTGGCTCAATCCTCCTGATCTCATTTGCAGCTTCCGTGCTTTTGACCCCGGGAGAGCAAGGTTAGCCCATGGCCCCGCCAGCACCACTTCCCTGGTCTCCTCATGTGAGCACGTGTTACTAACTAGCAGTAGAAAAATCACTTCAGTTTGAATAATAAACCAAACGCTGCCATTCCTGGTGCCCTATATATCCACAAATTAAGCCATAAATTAAGACGTGATGTGGGACAAGAGTTCCTTATCTGCAATGCGCTAAGTCCAAAGTCTCAGTAATACGGCAAAAAGCTGCACCCGTATAATCTTGGGCAGAGGGCAGGGCTTGTTTACATAGGGAAAGGCACACACCTAATTCCACGGCTATGGTTATTGTACAACTCTCGCGCAAACAGAGCGGAAAAACAGGCCTTTTCCCAGTGGGTATGTCGGGCGTCAGTTGTGCTTCCCACCTACAGTGCGCTCATAGCCAAGGCAGAGCACCTACAGAACTAGTATCTTCTCGTTATGCATCAGCAGTAATGCAACTGAAGCCGAGGTTGATTACTCTGCTCTTCTTTAAACTTTCCTTTTTGAGGGTTTGGGGGTTTTCTTTATGTTTTGGAAAACTACATTCCTTCATTTGCAAGCCCTCAAGATGCACTTTGAAAGCAAAGGTAGAGTTTTCTTAAGTTAATAGTTGAAGAACAAATATACATGGAAAAAAAAAAAAACTCCTCACCCTTTAGATCAGGAAGGTGATTTTGGTTATTACTGAAATTATGATTTTTCATCTGTTTTAATAACATGCTTCATGAAAGTCTTGGTATCAACCTTTCCCACTTTTTAGCCCTGTAAAGTCAAGAAGAATGTACAAAATTATTATTTTTTGTGTAAACTGCAATGGGTATTTCATATTTTGCCTATTTGGGAGTTCAAATGTCTTTGCTATAAAACAGCTGCAAAAGAAGTAAAACCTCAAAATCTTCCTGCTCCAAGCATACACTTCTTCTAGATATTCCAGATTCATTTTATTTTGTTAATCAACCACCTCCGGTCAAGTATTGTTTTAGTCATTTTATCAACATTAGTATTACTTCAATACACTACTGTACTGTCCCATTCCCATTCCTAGCCCCCATGCTTTACATTTTTGAAAGAATTTTACTATTACAAACCGTTTTCCCCTTAAACATTACAAAATGAGATTACTTTTACGTCAAGGACGATTTTTGACCCATAGGTTACGCGCGTATTGAAAATGACATGCAGACAAGATCTGGCGTCTTGAAATCTTTTTTTCTTTCCCCTCAAAAACGACTCTGTTCGCTTCAGTGTATTTTTCTTTTTATAAAAGCTGTCTAGAAGATTAGGAAACACATACTCATACTTGAAAAGGTCTAAATGAAGTGCTATTTTGACTAGCCAGTTGCAGTTTTTGTCTTTTTATGATAAGAATATGTAAGTAAACATGATGAAAAATGCCCATACTGATTAGGAAGAGAACAATGATATCGGCACACGATTTACAAGGAGTGAAATGACGGGTACTTAGCACAGTATTTCATAGCCAAGACTGCTCCCAAATTCAGCTTCAATAGTTGATTTAGGTATCTTGTTTTCTGAATACTCAAATACAATGAATACTACACTGCATGAAGTGCATGATGTAACTGAGAACTGTTTTACTTCATTTGAAATTGAGAAAAGAAATTAATCTATAAAACTCAGAAATCCACAGTAATTTGAACTGAATGTGAACCTTTTTCCCCTCCCTTTGCTTAAAATCAGCTACATAAACAATTCCTGAATGTCCTAAAAGGAGATAAAATATGCTTTTCTCCCGCCTCTGTAAGTCTTCTGCAGTCGCACAATACCTTTGAACAGCCACGCAAGTCCCTCGCTCAGGGCTAAATTCCACGTCTTATCTCGGCACGAGATTACACCGAACAGACCAGACTAGAGAGAAAACAAAAACAAACAATAATAAAAAAAAAAAACCTCACGAGTGTTTTATATAGCACAAAACAGGTCGATTATAGAAACAAAGCAATCAGGAACTCTGAGGCAGCGTCTCGGAGCTGAGGATGGTCAGGTTCCTCCCTCACCCCGCCGGTGGTTTACCCGTCTCGTCCATCTGCATGCCTGGCTGGATCCTGCCCAAGAGAGGCCAGGAATGGGGCAAACGTTGTGGCACTCGTCATCATTCTTGCAGCCAGTATTACACCCGGCCAGCCCTCAAGGACACCAACATGAAGCATGCACAACTCCTTCCTCCTCCACATCCAGAGGAAACCGTGCAGATGGTTTTATGAGAAAAGCACCTGAACTGTGAAGGATGTTCTCCTTCTACAGTACGCTCTATTTTAAGGTCTGACCACATCTCCTACCCATCTCTTTTTTCTTTCGCTTCTTTCCAGAAAAAGCTGGTCAGTTTAGGACCAGCTTTACTTAGGATCTTAAAGACCCTATGAGGGCAACAGTTCATTTCAGCAAGGCAAAGAATACTCAGCTCCTGGGGTTTATCCAAAGCGATGGGAGAGCGCTGAAAAGCACTTCATTTAAACAAAGCCAAAATTTGTCCATTTGTCAAAATGAAAACTACTACATGGATATTTTGGCACAGAAGTTAAAAAGTTTGTTTCCAGAACAGCATTATCAGCTATTACAAAAAGCTTCTGGTTTTCACATTAATGGATCACACTTGTCACACGCTTGTCAATAAAAGACTGTTAGAAACACTTTCTCTGCTATCAAGCCTACAATAAACATATGAGAAACAAGAATTCCTCAGTGTTTCTCACCTATAGGCACATTTCTTTTAAAAAACACTCCAAGACCTCAGTGGTCAGACTTTCAGTACAGGAAGCTCTGTTTAATCTCAGCTCAGGGACAGTATCCTTTCCAATGTCCTTTCTCTCTGTGCCCAAATCCTCACTGGGAGGAGTGAGCTACTGCAAGACAATGCAGATGCGAAAGCGTGAGTAGATACAGCAGAGCATACTATGAAAAAAGGCATTACGTTACATCTAAATTAGGTGTGCCTTACTGGCGTAGGGACTTCATTCTCACAAAACCCTTCCACTCAGAGGCAGCTACACTGGCCAAGCAACGCTCTGTATCAATACTGCAAAACTATAACCAGAGCCAAAGAAAAGTCAAACAAGTTAGGTTCCATTTTACTGCTCTAATGGCTTTTTTCCTAGCAGGAAAACTTGGTAACAAATCACACCTTGCCAGCAATCAGCACAACCACACCCATTAGAAGCACACAGGGTAGACAGAGGTCAAACAGGTAGATAAACAGATAAAGCTGCTATTACACATGAGCTCATCCTATCAAGCATGATGGATCCCAACAGATATAATGAACTTGGTCAGCATGATGTGACAGACACATGGCGTTTTGCAGAACACATATACCTATGTGCAAGTACCTATGGATACCCAGGCACCCAAGCCCAAGCTAAGGCCCACAAAGACTAGGAGTGGAAGCACCTCACGTCACCCTGTGCATCTGCTCAAAGCTGGCAGCTACCACATCAGTCTGATCTACAGTGCTTGAGGAAGGATCCCCAATAATTCGTCAGTGATTCGGATGGACCATCCTGAGTCCAAATACTAGTCTCAGCCATAGTATCCTTCTACTCAGACACAGTATTTAGATCTGTACCCAGATGATAACCCAGACAACATGATAAACCCAGTGATATCTAAGTGGCATCTGACATACTATCTCCAGTAGCAGTATTATTTGTGTGGGAAGTCACTACCCTGAAAAATTAGCTCAGGGTTATTTTCCACCTGCAGGGGTAGCATCTGACATTTGGGGGAAAGTTTCCCAGAGAGCAATTGTATCATCCTATTTTTCTAGTACTTGCTGCTCTATACTCTGTCTAACCTTATTTTATACAATATGTATCACATGGAATCACAAGGAAGCAACAAGGCATCTGGTCAAAAAATTGTGTGCTATGATAATTTAAACAGAGCAGTAAAACTTAAAAGGAAATAAATCAGAAAACTAGGATGATGTCTTAAAAATAAATGGAATTCCAGAGAATGATTAACACAAAGTGAAAAATACTTTGCAGCACTTCGCTGTGCTCTTCAGAAAGCTGCACTCTGCCTCTACGTAGCCACAGAGGAGTGGCTAAATCAGGCTACTAAAATATAACACTATGCATGCTTAGCGAGGAGCTACATGAACCATGCAGTCGCCCTGCGAAAGACGGACAATCTCCATACCTAGAGCGTCCAACTCTGGGCTCCCCAGTATCAGAGAGCGCTGCTGGAGCGAGTCCAGCAAAAGGCCACTAAGATTAAGAAGGGACAGGAACATCTCTCCCACTAGGAGAGGCTGAGAGAGCTGGGACTGTTCAGCCTGGAGAAGGGAAGGCTCAGGGGGGAGCTGATCAATGTGCATAAATATCTGAAGGGAGGGTGTCAAGAGGATGGGGCCAGACTGCCCAGCGACAGAACGAGAACAGGAAGCTCTGTCTGAACATAAGGAAAAATTTCTTTACTGTGAGGGTGGCTGAGCCCTGGAGCAGACTTATGGAGAAAAGTAAGAGGAAATGGAAACAGAAGTATTTTTCTGGGGCTTAAATTTCCTATGCTTTCATTTAAGTCTTTCTCTTCCATAGAAAAATTCTACTAAACAGTCTTTTTTGGAGCCGTCTTACTGTTAGTAAGGAACCACGAGAACTCTGGGTTCCTCCTCTCATGCCAGGGCACAAGAGGCGCAACGGCTGCATGGAGCAGCTAAGAGGAGGTAGACCAAGAGTGGTCAACAGCTGCCCAAGAATTCAGGATATAAAATACAGATCTGCACATGCTGTCATTCCCAACAAATACAAGTAGAATTGGGCTTGCGGAAAAAAAAAAAAAAAAATCTCCCTAGAGCTAACCTAAAACAAAAAGCAGCTTCACCAGGCCAAACGCTGAGTCAATGGCACCATACAGCCATAAAGGATTTCCTACAAAGCCCACTGAAATCAATGCAAAAGCATTTCTGGCCTCCAGCAGTCTTTAGCTCAGATCCCAAATGATGCACATCTAAAATACTGAAGGCTAGATTGCAACTTAATAATCCTAAATAACAATAACGTTACGACATACAACTGCCATGCTTGGCTATTCTTCAGGTACTGAGTTATGAGGCAAACACGACGCATTCAGCCCTCCGCGGGGGGGGGGGACGACACCTAAAAAGAAGTGGATTCTCTCTTTTTAGAGAGTAAAGGCTTCAATTGCAGATAAATAAAATAACAGGATGAGGAAAATATATGGGATGTGATGCTCTATTAGCAACCACCACATCTGTTACTCATATTTTAATATCTTCACTGTCACCCTGAAGCATACCATGTGCAATTAAGAGAAAATTGCAAGGCAATTTTTTAAATAAGTTATTGTGAACAGGCATACAGCACTGAGCCGAATGCAAATCACTAAATCAATTTAGCACCTGTTTAAGAAGTTTTGATTAATCCTCAATACATTGCTGTGTCGTTCTAATGGGTTATTAAATGCACCCCCTACTTTTAGGCTCTCATATTTGCTGTAATTGCAAATGAAATATGGATTGCAAGGGTGGCCTGGAGACAGCTCCGAAATGCGTAACTGCAGTCCCCTGAGGCAGTGCTGACAGTATCCTGTTCTCGTGGCTGCCCTTCCAACAGGCTCAGCGCAGGTATAAAAATTCACAGTACTCATTTACCAGTTAAAACACACACCTGCTTGGATTTTGCTCAGTTAAGTACAGAAAATTGTTATAGCACACATTTCTCTAAAAGCCTTAATCAATTTTCTCTTTGAAGGCTGTCACAGAAACTTTTTTAAAGTTAGTTTTAAGGACAGTTTACAAAGCAAATCTCAGTCCCAAAGCACTGTATAGTCCAATACTATCATCGGACTCTGTTAAACTTTTTTCTCGCTAGTTCTTCAACATGACTAATGGGGAAGCCCATCCGAGCTGCTGCCATCTACAAACCCGTAACAACCTCCAAGCCAGCCGCTTTGCGGCTCCTCCTGGGATAGCAGCTATAAAAACACGTTCCCCACCGAGCTCCCCTCTACCGTAACCAGGTCGATATATTGCAGATCTGATCACAGTTGTTCATACACTTCAGTAAAGAATCCACGTCCAAATAAGCTGAACACTATTTTTCCACACAAAAAGGCTAAACAATCTTGTGAAATATGTTTAGTTTTGCTTCCTTTAAAGGCATCGCCACTGTTTGGTCAAGAATTCAGCCCGACCTTGAGCCCAGGTCCATTACCAGGAGTTTGCAGACCACAAATTCCACACACGTAGGTGCCAAACCAGCATTGTTAAAAACTGGATCTAAAACCAGACTGCAAGCAGGCCAACATGAGGTTAGTCAACAGATGAATTCATACACAACTAGCGTCTCTTTGCACGCAAGTGCCATCAGTACAGCTTGCGATTTTATTGCAGTTCAAATATAATTATAGTTTTTTCCCAGCTGAATGTGCTCTCTCAGAAGCCTAGTGGCTTCTAACAGAAGGCTTCATCTAACGAGCTACATCTATACAAGCTGATTATATAGTACCAAAAAATATTCCCAAGCACTAAAACTTCATTATCTGTAACCGTTTTCATCAGTGCTGTTATTCTCCACAGCAGGAACGTAGTCCACGTCGACAGCCTGCATGCTACCCACCGCTTTCTGCAGGATCCCTTAACAGGATCGGTGCACGATGCTCTGTGCCACTTGGCTTCAGTGGCAAAGAGTAGTCCCGCACACATTTAATTTACAAGTAGATACGTATCCTCAAAGATTTATATTACGTACAAATCCCAAAAGACAAAGTAGATGTCTATGTTATTTTTAAAAATAAAGACGAAAACCCCAAAGCGGCTGACCTTTCAACCCGTAACAAACGGTTCTCTTCTTTCTACCTGTTCCCTGTTATAATCAAATA